TTCATGATAAAATTCTGTTGTCTGAAACTATCATAAGTTTCAACCCCATTTGTCCACAATTCCTTAAGTTCATCAATTAATGGCCTAAGCATGACATCAATGTTTTTTCCTGGACTTTTAGGTCCAGCAATTATCATGGAAAGAAATATATGCTCTGACTTCATACACAATTTAGGAGGAAGGTTGTACACTGTAAGAAAAACAGGCCAACAAGAATAAGGCGTTGCAGAGCAACCAAATGGATTGAAACCATCTGTACAAAGGCCAAGTCTAACATTTCTAGGTTCATCAGCAAATGTTGGGTGGGTTTCATCAAAGTGTTTCCATGCCTCACTACCCGCAGGATGAATAACTTCATCCGCATCGTCACGGCATTTCAAATGCCATGTCATGTGTTCTGCTGTTTTTCTAGACATGTATAGTCGCTACAATCTTGGGGTAATTGGAAGGTACCACAAAGATTTCCTTGGAACATCTTTCTGCCTTATAGCAAACATATTCCTTGCCTTATAGCAAACATATTCCTTGCCTCATAACGAGATTCTCCACATACTGGACAAGCAGTTAAATTCTTACTTTGATGATCATAGTACAAGAAACAATCATTGACACAAATATCAATTTTCTTGTACCCAAGTCCAAGCACATTTATCATTTTTTTTGCACTATAGAAATCCTTTGGCACCTTTTCTTGGTCCTCTGGACTCAACAACTTTCGACTCAATGACAATGCCATTTGACAATTAGCAGCACTCATATTATAAAGAGTTTTCATATTTAGCATTTCTGCCATCCATGAAAGTACTGTAACATCCTGTCCCCCAGCACCTATATGGACTTCTGCAGCATGCAAGAGATCATAAAATTCTCTTGCCTTACTATTTGGCTCCTCAGCCATTGGCCCATCATTGTAACTGTGCACCCATTGCATCAACTACCATTTCATGGTATAATGCATTTACCTCATTTCTAACAAACTCCATATTAGAAGATTCCCCTTCAAAGTTTCTTACTGTATTACTAGATGTCTCCCCATGAACATACCATGTATAATAGTTATTCATAAACCCATGCTTACACAAATGCACAGAGACGACCTCAGGATTCCCGCATTTTCTACATTTACATTTCGAACAAGGACACTTAATCTCTGATTTTGCGTTCGGTCTTGAAAATGCAAATCTCACAAAAAATTGCACTCCCTCTTTAAATTCATTAGTAACAAAACCACTATCATCCACACGACGATCTATCCAACTACGGTCATCCATCATTTAATTACCTAATTTGAATAGAGTAAATTGACAAAGTATATTATCATATCAACTAATAACCA